TATATATATATATATATATATATATATATATATATAAAAGAAAAATTATATTAAAAAATTCTCAAATTTCAGCAGGGCCCCTAACCCCACTGGCCCCACCTCCCTCTGCCACAACAAGATATAATAGTATAAGGAATAAAGTTCGAACTTCATTTTCTTTATTAATAATGTCTAATATTCTATTCTTTACTCTTTACCTTATGAAATATGCTACAAATACCAGGCATTGTTACTATAATTTTCTCGTTGTGGTATATAAGAAAATTAAAGCTTTCTAATTTAATTAATCATGTTTATTGAAGTACTTTAAAAGTGATAAAAAAATAACTTGATCAATAAATATTTATTTATTCTGAATTTTAATTATAAGTAAACTTTTTAAATTTTGCCAAACATTTATAGACCTAATTTAGCCTACTAAAATTTAGATGCTGCACGGACGTATATATATTCCAAAATACAATACAAATGATTGATTTGTTAAGAAATCACTTTCAAATCCATATGATATCTTTTCGTTTCACAAGAAATGACATTGATTATAGATTGCTACATTATGTGGAATTCAGACAAACAAAGGGTTAGTTCAACTGTTCGGTACCTCTGCATGCATGGGGCCTCTTTGCCGACACTTATTAATTTGGTAATATTTTGCATCTTTTCTTTTATCACAACTAGAATTTAAAATTTTGAATATGGACTTATCTATGTTATCTAAAAAATAAAATTATTAATTGAATTAATTCAAGATAGTATTCAACATAATATTTTAAAATTATAGGTACGAAAATTGATCTATAAAAAGTAAAGGTTAAGGATCAAAGAGTCTATATGATCAAAAGAAATAAATATTTAATCACCTTTTTCGTACATAAAACCGATAAAATCCATTTCAATTCACTCAATTTAGGGTGAACTGCCCAATTTTTTTTTTTTTTTTTTTTAAAATTTTTTTGGTGTTTTTTTTTTTTTTTTTTTTTTTCAAATTCTTCTGGACTTCGGAAGTTTTTTTGTTTTTGTTTTTGTTTTGTTTTTTTTTTTCCCCCGTAATCATACCAGACTTCAGCCTGCTTTCTGATTTTATTTTATTTTTTTCGTCGACCTTGTCTGCTTCAACTTCTATAACAATTATAATTAATCAAAATAAATATCATTTGTTCAAAGTTTGCTGCTATTGATTGAAATTTTTGGCAGTATTGTCAAACGATGGAGCATGTTAAAATAGAAAAATTATTGTTTCTAATAATTTTAATTTTTTAAAGATGGAATAGATCAACGTCACATGATATGAGGAAAATACTAAAATCGACTCTACTTTTGTGCAATTAATTATTAGTATGAGGTAAGCATAATGTGCATAGCCTTTGCGTGCAAAAGAAAATGAGAAGTAAAGGGATATGCCCTTAACAATTATGTCAATAGCAGATTTTGGCTGTGGATAATCTAACTTATTGCCATGGAAATGGAGCCCTACAATTAGAATAAAACTACATGCAAGTATGCAACTATACACAACTTGTGTCTTTCTATATTTTTCCAACATTTTAAGTAAACAGCTGCTGCGCACGTACATTTCTTAATTACTCTTGATAGATTATATCAAATTTGCTCAAAAGTTGGAACATTTTCCTACACTATCAATACTGAGGAAGAAAAACCTTAGCTCCTTTTTCGGTTTACAAATAATATGATTGATTTGATAAAAATTAAAGAAATGCATAGTTGAAAAGTTGATAAAGTTGTAGGTCATATAAAATGTATGGTTGAAAATGAGTTTTAAAAAATTGATATATATCTTAAGTAGACGGAGATTGTAAAAGGAATCCTGCTTATTGGGAAAGCGGATCAAAAGTTATAGAACTTGAGAGTCGGAGTAAGTAGGCTATGAGCTACCACAAAACGAAAGATCTTCTTAAGGAGATTCAATTTGAAATTCTTATATAAAATATTGTCCTTCAATAATGAAATTAGTTTAGAACATGTCCGAGTCAAATAAAAGTGACACGTAACAATACTTTTTATACTATATCAAAATTCAAGGACTTAATTACTTGAATATGTAAAATATAGAATATAGCCCTAAGAGGAAAAGAAAGGAAATGGATACACAATTTAAAGTAAGTAAATGTCATAGTCAAATGTCATTGAAACATGATTTATGGAAATATGTATTCGATGAAAGGAGTATGTACAACTTAGAAGAACATCTTTAGTCGTCTATTTTGATTCTCCCTCAAAGTGTTCTTTGACAAAATATAACATCTAGTGTTAGTCAACTCCTCAACAGCCATCAGCTGCAAAATTCGTCTATATTGGTGCCAAGAAAAAAAATATATAAAAAAAAAATAAAAATAAAGAAGATAATCAAGATGAAAAAAGTGATTAACTTAACATATCATCAATGTTTTAAAAATCGACCCGAACATCGGAAAAGAGAAATGGTTAAGTGTCAAAATGTTGAATGGGGATCGAACCAATATTTTAAAAAAATTAAAAAATATACATTTAAATTTTTTTGAAAATATACATTTACATATTGAACTGGTTAAACTTTGAATGGATCACAGGTTTTAAAGTTGGGACGGATTTTTAATTAGTGGTTTTATAAGCCTAATCGGACCAATTTTGGTTCTGGTTCCGATTTTTCCTGTGGCTCGACTGATTTTTAATACACTACATATCATTGCCCCATATTTTTTTTTGACGAGTACTTAATGAATTATCCACTAAAAATGGAATAAGGTGCGAATATGTTGCATAGGACTCGACTGTGTAAAAGACAAGATTTTAGCTTTCATTTTTCTATATTTATAATTTTACCTTATTCTCATCAAACGTGCTATAATGGAGTTCATCAAAGTTATTTAAATAATTCAATCCCAGTCTCATCAAACGAGCAATAATGGAGTTCATCATAGTTATTTAAATAATTCAATCCCAGTTTTGATTTTAAATATCTATTGGCTTAAAAACCAAATTCCATGTTACAAGATACATGTTCTTAGTAATTATTAGTTGCTTCCAACATTAGGCCATAAGA